TTGTGGCGATGTTTTTTTTTTTTCTATGTATGTTCACCAATTTCTCTGTGATTCTTTTACCGATCAGTGTGGTTTCACCACCAAAATAACCAGGAGAGTTTCTATTTGGTACCTTATATATTATGTTTAAGTATAATATTTGTTACGGTGTAAAATTCTGAAAACCTTAAATATTCAACATTTATTTTGTTTACATTTGTGCAGAGAAGGCAATAAATAATAATAGCATTCCTACAGCTGTTAGTTGAAACCATTTAAATGAAGCTACAGACAATTCTTCATGAAACAGTTGCTTCATATTGATCAATAAACTATTTCTTGCCATGGAGCCTAAATGAATTACATTGAGAAAAATGCATTTTGTTTTGGTTACTATAAAAAATGTATTTTAACGTTTGACCTGATTTGTGTATATAGTAATTCTGTTTTTAGTATTGAATATTCTGACTTACAAAAACATGTATGTTTCAGTGAATAGCTGTATGATATTGACAAATAAAGGTGTATTGTGAAAACCAAAGCATTGGTAAAACAGGTCTAAATATAAATTAAATGCAATTATTCCTTACACGACCTAAGAAGTGACAGTGCATAATCGTCAATTGTCTTAAAAGTGTTAAATATTTTAATTACTAAACATGCATTTGCAAATGTGGAATGTTTATTGATATTCTCTACCCAGTTACTATATCATATCAATACTATTATGCCTGCTTCGGAAAGTCCTAGAGGAAGATGATTTGCAATTTCGACTAGGCTATATCTTGATCAAACAAAACCACCTACATGGCTTGCACCACTTTTAGCTGAACCAATCTTTCATATACATATTTCATTTGCAGATGTGGAATGTTTATTAATATTCTCTACCCAGTTACTATAACATATCAATACTATTATGCCTGCTTCGGAAAGTCCTAGAGGAAGATGATTTGCAATTTCGACTAGGCTATATCTTGATCAAACAAAACCCCCTACATGACTTACACCACTTTTAGCTGAACCAATCTTTCATATAATATTTTCCAAAGGTACTATACGTGTTAACGACCAATTTTCCACTTTTGAGAGATTTTTTAGTGCTGGTAGCTGAGGAATAACTTTCATATTGTTCCAAAAGGCTTGAGACGTTACTGTATTTCTTTTTATAATGTATAGTACACCGATTGCAGGAAACGATGATGTCTGACATTTCAATGTATCTAAAAAAGACAATTAGTTTTTCATTAGGCCTAATGTAATGGACAACTCTTTCTTTCTTAAGGAATATGTACAAATGTGTATTTTCATACCCATTGATTATGTAACCTGAACAGGTGACTCAAGCAGTTTTAAAATAATGATTGTTCTGTGGAACTTTTAATTGTTTCAAACAGTTTTGCTTATCAAAAAACCTCAAGTACATAAAAAATTATACAGTCACTAAAAATCATGAAATAATTTATTTTTGTAAAAAAATACAACCGACTTTAAACGCTCTAAAAAGAATGAAATAATTTCAATAAAGTAAACTTTTGTATTAGGCAAGCTCACGTATTTCAAGTCGGCGCGGCTCAAACTGCAAATATGATTGAAATTAAATATTGTGTGTGTATTTTGAAAATCAATAAATTGTAGCTGGATAACATAAATATATAAAAAACATACTGAACTGTTTTGTTTATATATTAAAGTAAAGGAAATTTTTTCTTGTATTTTATGTTTACTTCAGAATAAATGCATTATGAAAATAACACACACAAATGTTCTATATGAATAGGAAAATAATTTAGTTTGATATAATGATAGGGAAAAGAAGCTAGTTTAGTAGGTATTAAAACGTTACTTTTCCAAGTTAGAAACATTTAAATGCGTTATAATCTTTTTAAAGATACTCGTTAATACCACTATAATGCCGATCTCTGATTACAGTAATAAAATAACACTTAACGCATAACTATGAAAAATATATGCAGATTAACACCTTTAGTTATAGATAGTCACCTGCAATATGGACACCCTCTTTAAATTTTGTATCAAAAATCATCATAGAGCCGCGCCGACTTAAAATACGTGAGCTTGCCTAATACAAAAGTTTACTTTATTGAAATTATTTCATTCTTTTTAGAGCGTTTGAAGTCAATTATTTTTTAGTATAAAAAATAGTGTAAACGTATCCTAAATACATATAAATATAAATTCCATAATTATATATACATATTCATTTTATTATTATTTTCAGCTCTAAAATACTATAAAAAATCTTTTATTTTAGCGAATTTCCCATATCGGAAATAAGCTATTACCGTTGGTAGGTCTCGTGGTAAGACCTGGACCTAGGACCAATTTACTTTTTGATGTGCCCAGAGGCCAAAAACACCATCCGTTCAAATTCATATATTTATATATGAGTGAAAATTTAAAAACGTACGTTTTCAGGAAAAGCACTTTGCAAATTTTTTTCCCCTTTTTTCAAAACTTTTATTATTATTTTTATTTCGTTAACATTTTAAGTTTCATAAAATGTCCATGGTAACGCAATATCTTTGGTAGTTTTCTTTTTAAAGAGCATCTTTAGTAGAAAAACACAAAATCCTGTCACGACCATAATGGACGTTTAAATGAATATTAAAAATAGTTAATATTATTTTTATAACTATGTTTTGCTATAAACTAATTTACTTTTATGACCATTATACAATAAAAAGGTCACTAAGCTTTTGGTATATTTGGTCTTTCTAAAAAAAAATTTAAAAAACTAAAAAAATAGAAAAAAGCCAATAAAATCTTTTTAAGTTTGTATAACTCCGAAAAAACTTACCTGAGACCCGAAAAATCGTTATGTTTGTATAGAGGTCTGCTTCTTTTGTGTATAAAACATTGAAATATGACGATATTTTAATTTTTGAAATTTTCATGATAGAAATCATAAACGTGATGGTCAGGGACAAGCGGTACGGTCGTGAATTGTCTGGAATAATCTAAATCTTTCCAAACAATCCTTCAATTATACTGTTAGTTATAATAAAACTATGTGTTTCAATTGATCTAAACTGTTCAATTTACAATTATATTAAAGTTATTGTCACGACCAAACACACTATAATCCATAAGGCTGGATTGGTCGTGAAAAAAACCACGATGGTCGTGAAACTTTGGTCGTGAAATTACGTGTTATTTGGCTCTGTTCTGGCGGTAGCCCTGCACCTCATGTTCGAGGATACAAAGTGGACTTCTAGGTTGATCTAGCAATTGAAATATCTTATAAACAAAAATTAACACCATGTCTACTTCATCGAATGACTACGTACGGTCATGGACACACCAAAATTACAAAAAACACAATCTTTCCTTTATTAATCTTGTAATTCCTCCTTTCAACTCAAAATGACCGGCACTACAATCCTGACGTACACCCCGAACTAGTCTCTAAAACCAACTGACTCCATCGACGCCAGGCTTGCCACTGTCGTGCTCCAAAGTTGAAAATGTTTCCCAAATGGTCGTGACGCCAAATCGAGGGACAGACTTATTTTGTCATGGTAGTCAGTCTGCAATGACAATAAAATTATAATATGCTCCTTTTTTGTAAGTTTAATAACCATTGATGACATAAAAATATGGCTTTATATATTTCGGTATGAATAATTAGTCTAAAAACAGTGTGAAAGTTGGAAAATGTACCCTAGGGACACGTCATGGTCGTGAATTTCGAGACTTTAAAAATACGAAAAAAATACCTAGAACCTATTTAAAACTAAATAAATGTGTGTAACATGTTGCCCCCGTCCCAAAAAATATTAAAACACATAATAATAAACTACAAATCCAGTATCTACGAAGTAAAAGGCCAGGGACATGAAAACGTACATTTTTAAATTTTCACTCATATGTGTCCATTATCACGATAACTCAAGCTAAAATTATCCGATTTTTATGAAATTTGGATTAAACATGTAAACCTACATTTAATCAAACGAATTCACGAACCAGCATGATTGGAATAGTATGGGAACAGAGGTTTATGGGGTAAAAATGGCTTTTTCCCATTTTTCACCCTGAAAACATAAAATTTTGCAATTTATTTCCAAACCATTTTGTAGAGCTCAAAATAGTATATTGAAGCGTTTTAGTATGTCTAACGGTTACGGAAAAATTCCAAAAAAGTTTAAATTTAAAATTACTATGTTATTCTTATGGAGAGTAAAATAAACTGTTGCGTCTTGCTTGTCTATGGACATATTTTAATGAAATTTGAAAAAAATGTTACTTCATACTAAGCTATCAATTATTCAATAAAAACCACACCTTATATAACTATCTTCCCTGTAGCAGGAAACCTAAGTACTCATTACAACTAATGACATTTAAATAGGAAATAAATCTGACAATTTTAAGGGAATAATTTAGTGGAATTCCAGCCAAGTAGATGGAAATTCACTTGTCTGCAGTTTGCAGAATACACAGAAAGATGATTCTCTGCCAAAGGCATAATGTGAGAAAGATTGGAGTTTGAGGCACTGTATATGATTATGGTTTTGCATTACAGCTACCTGTGATCGTGAGGCTGGTGGGAAATCCACAGAAAGATGATTCTCTGCCAAAGGCATAATGTGAGAAAGATTGGAGTTTGAGGCACTGTATATGATTATGGTTTTGCATTACAGCTACCTGTGATCGTGAGGCTGGTGGGAAATCCACAGAAAGATGATTCTCTGCCAAAGGCATAATGTGAGAAAGATTGGAGTTTGAGGCACTGTATATGATTATGGTTTTGCATTACAGCTACCTGTGATCGTGAGGCTTGTGGGAAATCCACAGAAAGATGATTCTCTGCCAAAGGCATAATGTGAGAAAGATTCAAGTCCGAGGCACTGTATATGATTATGGTTTTGCATTACAGCTACCTGTGATCGTGAGGCTGGTGGGAAATCCACAGAACGATGATTCTCTGCCAAAGGCATAATGTGAGATAGATTCAAGTCCGAGGCACTGTATATGATTATGGTTTTGCATTACAGCTACCTGTGATCGTGAGGCTGGTTGGAAGTCCACAGAAAGATGATTCTCTGACAAAGGTTTCTGGAAGGCTGGAGGTGAGGAAGTTCGGAGTCTGGGGCACTGTCTGTGATGATGACTTTGAAGACAAAGAAGCTTCAGTGGTCTGTAGATCCCTCGGCTACAATGGTCCAGCCAAGGTACTGTATATGATAGTTCTTAATAATAAACCAATTAGTTGGTCTGGTCTGTATACATTAAGGTTTCTATGCTAAAATTCCAATATCAGTGACGTCATGTTACGATTTTATAAAGATTTGTTGATTTTTGAATGAATTCTTTAGCCCAAGGCTACCTACATTATGAGATTGGATTGATTTTGATCTAAAATTTTGATCCGAAAAAATCAGGAAATTGATTTCCAAGTTACTGTGATTTAACAGTCTTTTTCAATTCGCTTTGAGCATCACATTGTCTGGTACATGGTGGAATTATTATAATTATTTGGTTATGGCCATATCAATACCCCCATATAGTTATTGCATATAGTTATTGTTTATAAACTTGTCATCATAAAGATGAAAGCTAGCTATCTATTTAATTAAAACCACAGCATTTTAGTATATACTATAAAAAACTGAAGCTGAGTACTGAAGCTTAAAAAAATAATTTCATCTTTAGGAGTGTAAAGTATGAGTTGGTACAATATGTTTTTTCATAGTCTCTCAAGGAAGCCGCATTTGGACAAGGTGAGGGGGTAATATGGTTGAACGGTGTTCATTGTGCGGGCAATGAGAGTTCTCTGACTGAATGTTTACATCAGCCTTGGGGCCTCACAGACTGCAGCCACAGTGAGGATGTTGGTGTCGTCTGCTCCCACTTGTCCCAGGTAATATACAAGGAGACTAGACCCTTGGCCTTACCAAACATGGCCTGACAATCCACCGGTATTCTGTACGTTTGCATTATCCTGGTTTTTACAGAAATAAACTGAAATATATTCATTACAGATTTGAAATATAAAACACCATTTCAAAGCAGTCGACAGCCTCTTTTAACCTTAGATTTATCTGTATACATAGGCCTCTGGCCTTTGTGTGTAACGTGTCAAGCAAATCATGGAGTGAATCAGGAGAATAGTTTATCACGGTTATTGAGAAAAAAAGCAATGTTTTAAATACAAAATGGCGGCTCTGCGAGTAACAATAGACTTTCAGAAGATTTAAATGTGATATTTAAATTTACTATGAACCCGGAAATAATCCCTTAAAAGATTAGGAGAGTTATGAAACACGCTGTATATAGCTCTGTGACTGAGTGTAGTCTCACAAACTGTTTAGTATGTTATAGCCCTTTAGATTCTAAACAAAATGGTATAACTCCCAATCAGGCACGGCCCTAGGGACTTTGCCGCCCTGGGCGAAATCGGAGACTGCCGCCCCCGGTGGGTCTGGGGGGTATGTTGTACCCCTCAGTAGGCAAGGGGGGTCCGGGGGTCTTCCCCCGGAAAATGTTAGAAAAATAACTTCTCTAAACACTATTTTTAAGCGTTTAGGAAGTGAAATCTGGTGTTAACACTTAATACAATTTTAAGCTTCACAAGGAGAGTGGCTTGAGAGAGCAGCAAGGCAAGTCTAGTGTAGTTTGTGCTCCTGATTTTTTGCTAATTTTATGAGTAAATACTGCAATTTTATACATAATTTTTACTATAATTTGTTTACTTTCAACTAGTGAATGTTATCTTGACTTTTATTTATCAAAGTGGAAAAGAATTAAACAGCTAGGTAAGAAAATGTAATTAAAAATCCTGAAAATATTTCAAATAACAGTGCAGAGAAGGGTCTGTTATCAGATCAGATAAGGAGGGTCAGATTGACTGGACTCTGCTGGGGGTCCTTATCTTATCTCTTATAACTCAGTTCAAGGATTCATATTATGCTGAAGTTTGTTTATGTTTATTTTTAACTAAATCCATTTTACTCTACAATAATTACAATATTTGTAATTATTCTCGGCTATTTGTAAATAATGTTTTCAATTAATGACAAGATTTTTGCAAAAATTAAAGGACATCAGCCATGGCCTGCTCTTGTAACCAAGGTAGACAAAGATAAATATCATGTAACATTTTTTGGCACGGGGCAGACTGGCACCTGCAAGAGGATGGATATGTTTGATTTTTCTATGTATGTAGAAGATGTTTTACCTACAAAGAGAGTGACTAGTAAATTGAGACAAGCTATAGATGAAGCTGATTCATTTAAAATAACAGCTGAGGAGTTTATTTATGATCCAGAAACACATAATGAACCTGAGCATGAAACTAGTTTATTAGAATTGAATGAGATTAACTATCAACTCATGTTTGAGAAAAGTAAGATGGAAAAATCCCTGAGGTTAGCTGAGGAGGAGTCTGAGGAATTGTGCTCTAAATATAGGAAGGAAATCGATGATCTTGAGACTAGGATTTCTCAATTAAATAATCAGATTAAAATCAAAGACAATTTAATTACTGGGCTGGAAGGTAATATTAAGCAAATGCAAACAGACAAAGAAACCAAACCCACAACATCCACTGGGACACAGACTAAATCAAACACAATGAGTAAGTCAATGATTGCCACTGAATTATTAGGCACAAATTGGTTAACTGATATAACTATCCAACCATATCTTGATATGTTAAATAACAAGTTATTAACTAAGACATCGTGTGTTATTATAAACCCACTAATTGTCCATGCAGTGAAAAACTCAATGGATGTTCACCAATTTCTAGATCCATTGGAAATTAAAAACAAACATATTATTTTAACATTAATAAATGACTCTGAAGATCTTAGCAGTGGAATTAGCGGTTCCCACTGGAGTGTATTGTCATTTGACAGGAAGAACAATAAATTCTATTATTTTGACTCCTTGAACAATGCCAATTTGTCTGCTGCAAAGAAGGTTGCTCAAAAGCTCTCAGATTATTTTGGTGAAAAAACGTGTATGGCTGAATTTCTGTCATTGAATGGACCACAACAGTCGAACAGCTATGACTGTGGTGTGATCTCCTGCTGGGTCGTAGAGTCTTTGGTAGATGACATTATCACTACTGGGTCATTAAATGTGCAGTATCTCCAGAATTGTAAACTCACCAATGAAGACGTGATTTTAAAACGCTCAATACTTGCATATCTTCTGCATGATTCCACAGCATTAAACAACGGATTGTTTTACAATTTGTTGATTAAAAAAGGAGGTAAAGTCAAGGAAAATAAAAGGTTGTGTAATACAGAGAAAACTTCAGCTACACCTAATTCACAATCCTGGACCCAAATACAACCTAGAGCTAAAAGAAATCATATTAAAACTAAAAAGGCATTGACAAAAGAACCTGAAATAGTAACAACAAATAAGTTTTCTGTTCTTGACAAACAGAGTAACCAGGATATTACCAAGGCAAATAGACCCGATAGAGAACTCATGACACCGGAAGACTCCATGACAAAGCCTACAGCACTTCAGATTGATAACACTAGGCCTAAAAGAAGAACAAGAAGAACTAGCCAAGGAACTACAACTACATGTCCTGATATTAATCTAACATTCTGCTCGGACAGTCAAGGTAGAAATGTAGCCAACAAGATTGAAACCTACAGCTTGGGCAAAATAAACACGTTTGGCTATGTACGAGCCAATACCACTCTACTGCAGGTTGTGGACTCAGCATCCATAGATAACAACAAGAATCACCCTTTAGTCATACTTGGAGGCACCAATGACAGTCTGAATGGAAACCTATCTGATATATATGTACATCTAGAACACAAACTTACCCAAATTAGCAAATCCAGACCAGTATTCTTATGTACTGTACCAACAAGACATGACAAACCCATGAATCACTTTGAAAATTTAAATATAGAGACGGTAAACAACTATCTCCATGAATTAACAGCTAGAAGTGACAATGTGCATCTAATCAATTTAAGTGAACTCAAAAGATATCACTACACATCCCATGGACTGCACCTCAATAACAAAGGCAAAACTAAATTGTTAGGGTTATTAAATGACGCGCAATGATGTGGATATGGAACATTTTATTGTCTATTATAGTTACTACACAACAGCACACACATGAAGTAACGAGGACATTACATAACCTCACAACCGACTCCGGACATAGCAAGAATAATACATTCATTCTTAGAAGAAGAAGAAGTCATATAGGCCTAAGTTACATAGACACTTGATAGCCTAAAGATTGGAGCATGTACTATATGACAAGAATATAAATTTATCCTCTCTAACACCACCCCTTAAATTTATATTCAGCAAAATATGTAAAACACACAGAAAAATTTACTAGGCCCCTAAACATGTTTCATTTTTGCTAGGTTTATGCATTTCAGAAAAGAATATGTTAGGCCCTAAACTAACTATGCCTAACAATTCCAAAATGTTGTACACAACTCTCATGTTTAACTTTTGTTAGGGGCTTGGTCAGAACATCTGCTAACATTTCTTCAGAAGGTAGATACTTAATACAAACAACCCCTGATTCAACATGTTGTCTCAAAAAGTGATACCTAATATCTATGTGCTTTGATCTAGCATTAGTTACAAAATTTTTTGTCAACTGAATAGCACCTTTGTTGTCACAATATACATCAAATGGGTTCAGAGCATTTTTTGGATCAATCTCTGAGATTAACTGTCTTAACCATAACAATTCTTGAACTGTAAATGACAATGCCATATACTCTGCCTCACAAGTGGACAATGCTACTGTTCTCTGTTTTTTGCTGAACCAAGATATTAAACTACCAGAACATTTTAACAAACAACCTGTAACAGAATATCTTTCATTTATTTTGTTTCCCCAATCTGCATCACAATAGGCTATTACATTTTTGTTCTCTTCCCTTGAAAATTCCAATTTAAAATTAACAGACCCTTTTAAGTACCTAAAAATTCGTTTAACTGCTAACCAGTGTACCTTACTGTAAGAGTTATTGAATCTACTTAATAAGTTAGTAGCAAAAGAAATGTCTGGTCTTGTTATTTGTGACAAATACAGTAAACTACCGATAGCTTCTTGGTATGGAACACTCACCATGTCCGTCTCTTCGTCACTTACTGTCGTGAAGTCCAAGCCTGGATCAAGTGGAGTAGTTACTGGCTTCGCTTCGCTCATACCGAATCTCTGTAGCACTTTCTTGGTGTAGTCTTCTTGAGAGATCCAAATTTTTCCAGCTTCTCTGTTTCGAGTGATGGTCATGCCGAGACAATGGTTGACAGGTCCAAGGTCTTTCATATCAAAGTGAGTCTTGAGAGTACTCTTCGTCTTTTCCATGGATTTCTTGTTGTTCGAGAAGAACAGCATGTCATCGACATATAGAGCAATAACTTGTAGGTTATTTCCTTGTCTTGAATAGTAAACACACGGATCAGCTTGAGATCTCGTAAAGTTCAATCCAGATAGCACTTCGTCTATTTTTCTGTTCCAATTTCTTCCAGCTTGCTTCAATCCGTAGACGGCTTTCTTCAATTTCCAAACGTTTCCATCCTTTGAAGTAGCGATCTCTTTGGGTGGTATGACATAGACGTCTTCATGAAGATCTCCGTACAAGTACGCTGTTGTCACATCCATGTGATCTATCTCCAAATCTTCTTTGGCTGCCAAGGATATGAGGTATCGTATGGATGAATATTTCACCACAGGTGAGAACGTTTCTTCGTAATTTATCCCTTTTATCTGGCTACATCCTTTGATTACCAGTCTCGCCTTGAGAGTTTCTTCTTGGTTTTCACATGCGGGCTTAATTTTTAGTACCCATTTAGTTTTCAATGGTTTTACACCTATAGGTAGGCTAGTTTCTTCAAAGGTTTTGTTTT